TTTCAATTTTATTTCAAAGAAAAGTATAAGCTTCAAAAATCATAAAGTATTTTATGCTGAATTTGATTTGAAGTCTTCGTAGTCTGGAGTTCAATTTTCCAGAAATGTTAGTACACACAAGAACAAATACAAATCTTCTAAAATTGTTAGGAGATAACTACACATTTGAACAATAATGTTTGGAATCATCAAAACTATACAAGTTGCAAAAATGTAAAGCATGCAAATAGCAACTATCTTAACAAGTCTGAGCCTGAGGTGGTGGATCGAAAAAACTCTGAGCATCAAGTGGTGGTCCGATGGAACTCAGGGCCTTAACTGATGGTCTGGTGGAGCTCAGAGTCTTAAGTGGTGGTCCAGAGAACTCCAAGCGGTGGTCGAGGAGGAGCGAGGAAGCAAGAGTGATATCCAATCTATCTCTCTCTCTCTCTTTCTCTCTCTTTCTTGGAGCCCCCTTTCAAGAGGGAGGATTGGTATATTTATAGATTTCCTAGAGTGACATGACCAGTAAATAGGAGGAAGATCAAGGGCAAATGAGGAGTGGTTTGCATGGATGGCTCATGTTCAATCCCTTGATCATGGATCATTTGATGGACATTTGACTATCTTAGTAATATTCGAATTAAGTGATCTTGGGCTCATTGGATTTGTCTCGTCGAGCTGCTCGATTTGACTATAAGCATGTCACATTTGTAAACCATTTGGTAACCAAAATTATGGTTCAAACCTCTCAACAGCGCTTCAGACCCTTGATTTGGACCCATTTGGGCTTGGATTGAGTCAAATTTGGTGTCGTTGGGTTTGTATTTTCAAAATGTTTTGTTCGACTATAAGTTTGCTGAAATCGGAGTTCAAATGGTCATGGATTTAATTTTTAAAATTTTCAACTTGATTTTCACTCGAGATTCGTGCCCGATCTAGATAATTTTTTGATGACGTATCACATATAAATATTGAAGTTTATGCGTTAACATGTAGATAATATTTTTTTTTGTGTTAACATGTAATATTTTTTTGCAATCACTAGATGGACAAGAGGGGGGGGGGTGAATTGTGAAAACTTTTTGACAATAATTAAAACCTAAGCAGGAGTTCTAATTTTTTTAATGCTTTTAAAATTTTAACATGAAGAAATTTAAACAACTTTTCTTTCAAAAATTTTCCCTAGCAAATATTATGAAATAAAATGCACGCAATAATAAAAAGACATTAAGGAATAAGCATGACCTACGTCCACTCCCCTGAGTCCTCCACTCCGGGTATTTCACTACAAGTAATAGCTATCCTTTTGCCCCCCTTAGCAAGGCTGAGAAGCCCTTACAATACTCCCTTTCACCAACCCGGCGTGGAGGAGTGCCAAACTCTATTTTCACCCTCCTGGCGACGGTAGAGAACCTTCTAATTTTTCTCCCTCCTGGAGAAGGCAGAGTACCTCGAGGTCACGGATGTAGAAGAGCCTTTCCCTAAGAGATCCTCCCACAAATTCTTCTAGGGCCACATGAGGAACAAGATGCAGCAAGTTCAGAGCAACCGTGTGATCTCCCTCACACCTCTTCTCCCTCACAACGCTCACCTTCTCCTCCCTCTCTCAGACCTGAAAGAACTTCTCAAGAGCTCTCTCCCTCGGAATCCCTCTCTAACCACATTCCCCTATTTCTGATTCACACCTTCAAAACATTACAATGTTGATACCTAAAAACGGGCTCCAAAATCCCTAAAATCTCAAAGTATCTGTTACTATCATACAATACGATTTCTAATCGTACAGTACGATATGTATAAACAGATTTAATCTGTGCCCTCTCTCAAACCCTAAACCCTAAACCCTAAGTGCTATTGAGTATTGCTTCCTACTGGACCAAGAAATTAATGATTGTCCTATGAATTGGCAAGTACCAGAGGTGATTATTCGATCTATCCTACATCCTGCAAAGTTAGAGTCTGAATACCCTAAGATTTTAAAGGAAGTGTTGTGCCTAGGATACCAAATTCCTAAGTTTGGGGTGCCTAGTAGATATCTAAGAATTCTCTTGATAGCAGTTAAGTGAGAATATTTAGAATCAGCTTGAAAACGAACACAGAGGCACACACTAAACATTATGTCTGGTCTACTGGCAGTCATGCAAAGAAGGGACCCAATCATTCCTCTATATTTTTTCTGATCTATTGATTTTCCACTTGGGTCTTTGTCTAATTGAATTGTTGAGCTCATTGGGGTGTTCATGGGTTTTGCATTCTCCATCTCGTATTTTTTCAAAATGTCTTTAATGTACTTTGCTTGGCTAAGAAATGTTCCATTTTCCATTTGTTTTACACTAAAGCCAAGGAAGTAATTTAGTTCTCCCATCATGCTCATTTCAAACTCATTACTCATTATTTTTGAAAATTCATTACATAACATTTTATCTGAAGATCCAAATAGAATGTCATCCATGTAAATCTGACCAATGAGAATTTCTTCTTTGACCTTTTGTAAAAAGAGTGTAGTATCTACACTATCCTTTTCAAATCCTCTATCTAATAGGAATGAGCTAAGTCTTTCATACCATGCTCTAGGTGCTTACTTTAATATGTAAAGTGTCTTCTTTAATTTGAATACATGGTTTGGAAATTATGAACTTTCAAATCCGGGGGGTTGCTCAACATAGACATCTTCCTTAATTACCCCTCTCTCAAACCCTAAATAACTTCTAAAGAGCTCACTCCCTCGGAATCCCTCTCTAACCACGTTCCCCTCTTTCAAAACATTACAATTTTGATACCTAAAAATGGGCTCCAAAATCCCTGAAATCTCAAAGTAGCAATTACTATCGTACAGTACGGTTTATAATCGTACAATATGATATGTATAAATAGACTTCGTCCTGGTACGAAGTGGTACGAACAGTTCAAAAACATTCGTACAGTACGATTTAAAATCGTATCGTACGATTCACAACAATACTGTTCATACAGGACGATGGCCGGGACGATATAATTTCGTCTCTGTTCATCGTATGGTACGATTGACATCGTACAATACGATGAGACAAAAACCAAGAGATCATCCAAGACGATCCCTGCGATGATTATAATTCGTCTCTGTTCATCGTATTGTACGGATTGGTTTGTATAGTACGATGTTCAAATTATAATTAAGCCTGGATTTCTTGCACTAATCACGAGTTAAATTAAGTAAGTATTTAAAATAAATCGTACATTACAAACTTGTTCGTACAGTATGAATGGCGTAAAATAACTCACTTAAGTTAAAACGATGGCTAGGGTTTTGGATTTGAACATATCGTACAGTACAATTTACATTCGTACGGTACGATCTATTCACAGAATCGTCCTACAAAGCTCTGATCGTACGGTACGAAATAGAATCGTACAGTACGATCTACAGAGAAAGAAAACTCTAAATTTTTCATTTAAAAACACTCTCCCCCTGTGTGTGTGCATGGTTGCTCAGACTTTTATGCATTTTATGACCACACTCAAAAAAGATTTTGTGGCTAGACTCAAGAAAGTAAGAAGAAAAAAAATACCAAAATACATTGTTAGACTCATACTCCTAATCTACCCATTCTTGAGTCTTCCTGTCATCCTGAGTAGCTTGTGATCTTCCTGAAATGTTAGTACTCACGGACAATAGCAAATAAAATAATATTCAATGAATAGATGATTCAAACGACAGTATTTGTCATCATCAACTCGGGGTCAAGGGTTGCAACAACATGATCCGTAAATAGGAGGAAGATCAAGGGAAAATAAGGAGTGGTTTGCATGGACGGCTCATGTTCAATCCCTTGATCATGGATCATTTGATGGACATTTGACTATCTTAGTGATATTCGAATTCAGTGATCTTGGGCTCGTTGGATTTGTCTCGTCGAGCTGCTCGATTTAACTATAAGCATGCCACATTTGTAAATCGTTTGGTAACCAAAATTGTGGTTCAAATCTTTCAACAACGCTTCAGACCCTTGATTTGGACCCATTTGGGATTGGATTGAGTCGAATTTGGTGTCGTTGGGTTTGTATTTCTGAGATCTTTTGTTCGACTATAAGTTTGCTGAAATTTGAGTTCAAACGGTCCTGGATTTAATTTTTAAAATTTTCAACTTGATTTTCACTCGAGATTCGTGCCCGATCTAGAAATTTTTTTAATGATGTATCACATATAAATATTGAAGTTTATGCGTTAACATGTAGATAATATTTTTTTGCTGTTACGAATGTAATTCCCCCTATAATTTTGCAGGTTTTTAGTAGATTTGTTTTCAATTAAGAAGTCAACAAACTTCGTGGCTGTTTGGTATCAGATTTATGTTGGGATTTAAGTCGGATTTACGCTAAATCCAGCCAAACGATTTTTGTGCGCGCGTTAAATCTCAGGATTTCATAAATCCCGAATTTAGGGATTTACGGCTTAAATCCCGGATTTACTAAATCCCTCGGTTCGGTGGATTTAACGGGATTTAGCCGATGAAGCGCGCGAAAGGGAGAAAGTTACCTTCAGAGTTAGCGAGCTCCTGTTCTTGCTTCCGATCAAAATGTCGTAACTTCCATAACTTAAAATATATATATTATTAAGTATATAATTAATAGTGTAATTAATAATTAATAAGTACTTTGTACATAATATGTTATTAAATTCATAACACATTAATTTTTATTTTTAATTATACATTTATTTTTAAATTTATAATTATTTTCTTCACATTTAAATACATAACTACCATAAATCTTGAAATATGTACCAAACAGTTTATCAGAATTTAACAGGATATAACATTTGACATACCAAACAGTTTTCAGGATTTAACACATTTCGAATTTACTAAATCCAAATTTACAGAATTTACTAAATCCTACTAAAATTAAATCCCACTTGTTGCCAAAGAGCCCCTTAACAAATTGAATAAAATTTGTTTTAGTCATAGAGGATTTGAAACATTCAAGCAAGAAATAAATGCTTAAATTTAATGCCGCCGATTAATAAATGCCGAGCTTGTGTGGCGGAGAATCGAAGATTCCCAACGCTTCACACAGTTGTAAAAAAAAAGCCGCCCCCCTTTCTTGCATCGTTTCTTCTCCATGTAAATGTGATTCTCAGCGCTGCACGGCAATATCAGATTTTGAAAGTGGAAAACGGATTGCGCCTCAAGCTCTTCGGGCTTCTCCATCCTCTTCCATTTTTCTGCTTATTCTCTCACTCCAATTCTCGGCTGCCGGTTCTGAGTTGCCCGTTTCTATCCATCTTTCTATGTTTCTTTGCTTGGTTCGATTGCCTAGGTCAATTTCGATCAAGGGTGATAATCTTTCCTGGTCGATTTCGATAGTTTGGTGTTTGGGGTTTGTTTCCCTCTGCAATAACGAAAGTAGGACTGTTGAAAGCGATGTTAGACTTTAATATTTCCGTGTAAATTGCATGGCATACTTCAATTACATGCTTTTTCTTTGTAGGAAAGCGTTACTTTGTTTGATTCCCTCTAATGTATTGAGTGCATCTGCTTCCTATATTGCTCCTCAAAATTGGCCGCTTCAGCTATTTTTCGATTGATTCATGATTATTTTCACTTGATACAATTTTTTAGGTTTCTCTCTGCTATTTGATTTTTCTGACTTACTTGGACGAGGAAAGAAAGGACGTATGATTTTGTTATTTTGAAAGGAGGGAAATAGAACTGAAAAATAATTTAAAAGCATAATGTGCAAATGGAAGCATAGGGCTTTTGTTTCTGTAAGGTGCGAAGAACAAAGTGAACATTTTTATTTATTGAAGTGGAGTAGAATGAATTGCTTTTTAATCATTCTTCACTTAAAATAGGCATATAAGGTTGGTGCTATAGGGAACAATCCAGAGCCACATTGGGTACCTTTTATTTTAGGGAAGAGGTGAATAAGCGGGAGTATGTGATTTCATGATAACTTTTAAATATAAAATAGGCCTTAATGAAAAATTCGAAAAGTAATTTTGTTAATATTTCAAGGAAAGGTTAAATGAGTATAGATTTGAACGTTTCACCCAATCTACTGTCTGGTTCAATGTTTGAGAAAACCCTTTCTTCGGTCCTCATTTTATTTTTTCTTTGTCTGCTTAAGTCCTTTTTAGTTTTTTGTGACATTGTTAGCTGGCCTAATTTTATTATAGTAATTGTATGCGATCAACCGCATAGATCAAGTTTACATGAAGCAAACGGAGCAACGAATCAGATTAAACCATGAGAAGGAAATGCCGTATATAACATTTGTTGTTGGCAATTCTTTCTAGTGACAGGATGAGCAAGCTAAGCAAAGGTCAACGTGAAACAGGCGAAACATTTTAGCAAATTAGAGTCTACAGAGAAAATTAGTTAGCCGTTAGCCTTTTAGTACTTCAATTAGCTTATGTGATGGTTAATAAATTAGATTGAGCTTAATATAGTACCCATTATCTTACATTCGCATGAGAACTTCAAACAACAAAACAAAGCATGCTCTAGTGACATTTTTCCATCTTTTTTTTATTTATTTATTTACATTTTTCCATCTTCATCATGGTAAAGTGCTAGAAACTGTTGCTTTGTTGTGCTCACCACAGCTTTGAGCTACAGTACCGGGCAAAGTCGCTAAACTCAATCTATATACTTTGTTGCATTTTAATGCATTTAAAAAATTCCTACACCTTAACCTACTGTAGAGAATCTGTAAAGGCTGAAAATCAATGGGGGAGGACATTTTGTTGTATCAATTCACTTTTAAATTGTAGAGGGTTACCATCAGTGTGATATTTGAACTTGGAACTGATATTAATTATATTGTATTATGTGATAGCTTGGTCAAAGTTCATTGAATCTGATTTCGTGGTTTGTTAGAGGTGTTTATGATTTTGTACTATTGCTTTTTCAGTACATATGCATTCCTCAGTATATTCAGAAAATGACCAATCTGTGTCCTGATTTTGTCTGTTTTTTAATATTAGGTTTCTAGCTTAGCTCTTAATATACACCACTTTAGCTAGCTGATGAGTGACCTTCAATTTCTGAGCCTTGTAAAGTTTTGTGCTGTTTTGTTGGTAAATATCAAACTCTCTTTTTCCATGAAGCTTATTTAATTTATTTCATAATCAACTTGTTAGTTGAACATCAACTTCAGCAGAGTAGATAACTTGATATAGCAGACAGATGAATCTTCTTTACTTAAGTTTGATGAATTTTCCATAATCCGAGAACTCACAAAATTTGATTCTTAAATTGTTGAATGGGTGTATATCAACGTAATTACTCGAATCTTGCATTTAGAAGCTTAAAACCAACACTAACTTTATTGGATTACTCCCTGTTCCAATTTGTTCGTCAGACCATTGTATTTGTCACCACCATGACCTAAATTTTTTTAACATTAATAAACGTTATTCCATGAAAGTTTTTAAGACTTGTTTGTTGGTTAGTGATCACTTCAAATGGTACTTTTATAACTCACGTTTCCACTTCTTTTTTCCTTTATGAAGAATTTGATATTGATCATCCACGAAGATAGTGGAACTATGCAAACTAATGAAGGATTTTTGTTTAAGAAATTCATGAATTCTTATCGAGCAAAGGAATAAAAAAACATTGTAATTTTGTCCATGTGGGAACTTAAGGGTTTGTTTGTGGCATCATTTTCATGGCTTTGATTTCCAAATAGCTACCATACTTTCATTTGGCTATAACGTTTATGTTTCTTTTTGAGAAGTTTTGTGGTAATTAGTTTCTTCAACTAAACTTGCTATAGTGTGACAATTATAAGAAAGCTATTTTATGATTTTGTTAATTAATAATAATAATAATAATATATATATATATATATAATCACACACCCATTTACAAAAATTTTTTTTTCCTTTGACAATTCTCAACTATTTCTACATACAGCTAGAATCACCCCGTTTAGAGAGAGAGTCCCCGTTTAGAGAGAGAGAGAGAGTCCCCATTTCCAAATTGATGACCTGGTTTTGGTTCCGCATATTCTGTGGTCATTCAGGAATGGCGGTAGAACGCCACCGGCCATTGGTGGGTTCATCGTCGGTGGTCCACGCCAAAGGAGGTTCACTTATTCAAAGTAAATGGAGTCCGAACAAGCCTAGTTCTGGGAGGATGGATTTTAATGGAGACATTTCGTTGGGATTGCCAAAGGGTAGTCCTTTGATGATTAGAGAGAATGCTGCTGAGATTATCAAGGAAATCGCTCATGTGGATGGTAAAGGAAAAAGTATAGTTCAAGAATCGGAAGTTAAAACACCACAGTGGTCTAAATCTCCGACTAAAATTTTCATGAAGTCCAATGATCTTGAAGCTCGTCGTCGGATATGAAAATTTTTGTAAATAGGTTTGGTAGTTTCAATGCTGTCCCTGAGGAGATTTCAAATGTTGAAAGCAATAGAGGTTCTGTGATAGCGAATGCTGAGGTTGTTCCTGTTGGTGCGGAAGTGACTTCTGATGATGGGAGGGGAAATGATGCTTCATTGAAGAACCTAAATGAATCGCTTGTGAACAAGGATGATAAAAAAGTTGGAGTTAATCCATAGTCCAGGAAAGCTTATATAAAGGTAAATTTAAAAAAAAAAAGTCTTTGTTGACAGATGATGGTGTTGCAGTGAAGTTACATACTCACAATGAAATCACCAATTCAAGCAAGTTACAATTCGCGTTTGTAGCTAAGATGTTTGGTAAAGAAATCCCTTCTAATATTGTTGCATGGGAATTAAGGTGACAATGGGCACAATTTGGTCAGACTCATTTTACTTCACTTGGGATTGGATGGTTCTTGTGTTCATTCAAATCTTTAGAAGCCGTGGAGTCGGTTCTTATGGGAGGACCATGGTATGTTAATGACCATATTATTGGAATGGATAAATGGTCCTTAAACTTTTCTCCGTTGTCTATGAAGGGGCTTACTTCTCCTATTTGGATTAGAATGCCTCAATTGCCTTTACAATGTTGGGATGAGATCAATGTGGCAAGGATTGCTTCTATGGTGGGAACACCGCTAATGTTAGATGACAATATGTTTCAATAGGGAAGAAGAGAATTTGCTAGAACTTATGTTCGTGTGAAGTTGGATCAACAACTTCCCTTGGGAGTTTGGGTGGAAGGCATGTACGGAAGGTTTTTTCAAAAAATTGAGTTTGAGAAAATCTCCTCTTTTTGTTTTGAATGTGGAAGGATTGGGCCTGTTAGAATGATTGTTGCAATAAAAGGGCTGATACCAAGGAACCTGTGAATTGTATTACAAAACCAAGCCAAGATAACTTTGAGATTGGCAATCAAGCTGAAGTTGGCAAAGAGTTTACATATGGATCGTGGGTGCATGTGAATTACAAGAGAGGTAAGAGGTTTGCTCCTCCCAGATCAAATTTTAAATTTGCTCAAATGATGTTCACGAAGAAATATCCTCTTACTTCAACTACTGTGGAGCCAAATAAAGGTGTCCGTGCCAAAACTGAAGAGGTGTTGACTATGATGCACCGACACTTCTCCTCAAAGAGGCATGCAGTGTCCGACACCGTGTCCGACACGACACTTGTCCGACACTCCTCCGACATGTGTCGGACACGCCGAAAATGTGTCTGATTAAAAAAATATTAAAAACAAATTGGACACGCGCATCTTAAATATTTTATAATATTTTTAAAATATAATTTCTTATATTTGGCAAGATTTAAACTAAATTTCTAATTTCCTATCCACAACACCAAATCAACGTCTGCATTTAATACCCATTCATCGAATATTCTCATTTTCATTTCTCTTTGACAGTGAAGATATTTTCATCTCTTCTCTTTTTGCACAATTACAAATATTTCTCTTGTTGAACTAGAGTTGAACGCAGTGATATTCAATGATGATGATATTGAAGGCAAAAAACAAACCTCTAAAGCTAATTATAGTAGTTGAACCTTGAATGCTTGATGTTGTAGTAAGTGATTATTTGCTTATATTTTTGTGGTTGTATTAGATATTTTGTACTAAATATTTTATATTATAAGCTAGACAAGTTATCATGTCATTTATTTATTATTATTTGTCATTTTTAATATGATATTACATTAATATATATATACTATATAAAAAAATGTATTGCCGTGTCCGCGCAGTACCCGTGTCCTATATTTTCAAAAAAAGCCGTGTCCCGTGTCCGTGTCGTGTCCGTGTTGCCGTGTCCGTGTCCGTGCATCATAGGGTGTTGAACTCTAATAATTTTGTGATGGACATGAATAAGAAAGATAATGTAATTTCTGAAGAAGGAGAAATTATTTTAGAGGATGGTGTGGGAGAAGATGCTGTTGCTTGTGGTCTGATCAAGGAGCGGAATGTGCTGACGGAAGAAGAGTTGGGACGTGGTGTTCAAGAACCTGTACGTGATATGAATTCTATTACTTTTTCTTCTGGAATTCCTGTGGCTGTGAATAGATTTGGAGCTTAAAATGGCTGTTATAAAGAATCTTTGGAGTCTGATAAGAATTTGATAGGAAACACTTGTAGATCTCAAGTATTTTCTATCAATCTTCGGAAAACAGCGAGAATTCTTCACAAAAATCTGCACAAAATCACAAAAACAGTAGATAATTTGTATTATTTGATGAAAGGAACACAGAAAATAGCAAGATACACTTGATCCTCAATTCGAGAGAAGGATCGATCCCTCCCAAATCTCAAGACGCCGCTAGAGCCAAAAGAAAACCAAAATCTCAGAGATCTCAAATTTCAGCCAAATTCAAGATGCCCTAACCCTAGGAAAACAAACTATTTATTGCATAAATCAAAAGAAATTCCCTAAACAATCCCTACATTCAATTTCCCTCCCAAAATTTCTTCCAAATCCTTCCAAAATTGGTTTCTGTGGCTTGCGATTGCGTTCGGCGCATCCAGGGGGCGGAAGAGTTCCGCCCCATTTAACGTGAGCTGGTACCGTGTGGACCGGCTGGACCGGTCTATCAATACTCCCCTCCCAAAGATCCACCTTGTCCTCAAGGTGGAAATATTCTCGTGTTCTTGCGGAGGTGACTGAAAAATCTCACTGTATTGCTGAACCAAGGACTGCACGGAAAGAGAAACATCTCATCCCTCCCTCCAATCTGATCTCATCCAACCTGTGTAGTCCCACCAGATAATCTTCCCCCTCCTTTTGTATGTCCCTAACCATGGTCTCAAGTGATGTCATAGCTTTTGATAGCCCTGCATCTCCCCTTATAACCACCATTCTCTCATCCACCTTTAATTCCATCGTGAGTGCTCCCCAATTGTCCTTGGTTTCCCCTAAGGTTTGCAACCACTTCATCCCCATGATGACATCAGCGCTTCCTAACTTTAGTGGGAGAAAGTCCTTTACTTGAATCCCCTGGATGGTCAACACAACTCCTTTACAGATTTCTTAGCTGTTCTCCACCTTCCCTGTACCCATCATTACCCCATAACAACCGGTGTCCACCAATTTCACTCCCAGTTGGTTGATCACCTAAGTTAAAATGAAATTATGGGTAGCCCCACTGTCAATCAAAACAACCATCTCCATGCATGCTATCTCCCCCTTCACCTTCATCGTATGATTCGAGGTGAACCCTATTACTTAATTCAGCGAAACCTCGGCTAGTTCCAAATGCAACTTCTCCTCTCTTACTTTAACTCCCCCTCACCTCCCTCCTCAGTTTCCTCGTCATTACAGACAGTGAGAACCTGAAGAGTTCGGTCCTTGCACCGATGTCTTAGCGTATACTTCTCCTCGCACCTGAAACACAACCCCTTTGCCTTCCTCTCCTGCATCTCATTCTCTATCCTCTTGAAATTTTCCCCACTCCCTCCTACTGGCTTCTTCTTGGTGGTCTCATTAATGTTGCTTGATGTAAGCCCCTTGGGTGCTAAAAGAATGGTTGTCATCCTGTAAGAGCCTCATGAGCTATTACTCTTAGCTCCATTCTCTAGATTCTTTTGATTTTCCATCAGCTGGGCCAACTTCATGGCCTCCCCTAAGTCACGAGGCATCAAAACCTTCACTGCTGCTCAGATCTCTTCCTTCAACCCCTTCATGAAGTTCCCCTCCAATACCGTATCTGATAATCGCTCCACCCTACTGGCTAGGTGCTCAAACTGCTCTCGGTAGTCTGCTACTGATCCCTCCTGTGCCAGAGCAAAGAACTGCTCAAAGAAATCTCCTCCCCGGTTAGTTTAGAAATGTTCTATTATGCAGTCCTTGAATTCCCTCTAGTTCTTGATAGGTTTCCTCTGATCTCTCCACTGGTACCATGACAGTGCCTTCCCCTCCAAACAGAGGCCTGCTGTTGTCAGTTTCTCCTCCTCCGTTAGCCCATTAACGGCAAAGTACCTTTCCACATTATAGATTCACCCATACGCATCTTCCCCCTCGAAGATACGCATCTTCAACTTCCTCACCTTCTGATCTCCATCATTCCCCCTTATTCCTCCATAGCTTCCCCTCTCCCACATATTCGGCCTACCCCACATCTCCTGGTTTTCCCTTGCCCTGCCATAGCCCAAACCCCCTTCCAAATCCCTCCTTCTGTCTTCAAAATCAGCACCTCGACTACCATAGTATCCCTCCTGACGTTCCCCATATCCACCCCCTCTTTCTTCCCTCTGGACAGGCTCCAGATGGGGCCTTCTTCTTTCTCCTTCCATGATTTCCACCTCATCTTCCTCCCTATGAATTTTCGAATTCATACTTTTTCCTTCCCCTCTTGCCATAGAAGCCGTCGTTTGATTTTGAATTTATAACATCTTCTTCATCATGTCTCGGAGATTGGCGACTTGTCCTTCCATGGAGGAAATCCTTTCCTTCATCGTCATTTTGATTTGATTCATCTCTGCTTCAAGCCTTTCTTCCAGAGCATCCACCTTTTTGGCCGCCATCACAATCTGGAGTTTGTAAAATCACAAATTATGGATTTGGAACTTCAAAAACGACAATTCCCCTTCCATCCGGGCAATTAATCACCGCTGAAATTTGCCGAAATCAGCCCTCCATCGGTTCCACGACTTGCTCTGATACTAATTTGATAGGAAACACTTGTAGATCTCAAGTATTTTCTATCAATCTTTGGAAAACAACGAGAATTCTTCACAAAAATCCGCACAAAATCACAAAAATAGTAGATAATTTGTATTATTTGGTGAAAGGAACACGAAAAATAGTAAGATACACTTCATCCTCAATTCGAGAGGTGGATGGATCTCTCCCAAATCTCTAGATGCTGCTAGAGCCCAAAGAAAATCTAAATCTAAGAGATCTCAAATTTCAGCCAAATTCAAGATGCCCTAACCCTAGGAAAACAAACTATTTAATGCATACAAATCAAAAGGAATTCCCTAAACAATCCCTACATTCAGTTTCCCTCCCAAAATTCCTTCCAAATCCTTCCAAAACCGGCTCCTGCGGCTTGTGGTCGCGTTCGGCGCATCCAGGGGCGGAAGAGTTCCGCCCCATTTAACGTGAGCTGGTCCCATGTGGACCGGTCTATTAGAATTCAAGATGCATCTCAAAGAATGGAATAGAGGGTGACGTGTCTTTGGGTAAAGTTGATTGTGTTTTGGGTATTGGTGTTAAAGATGTGCATAGTAATGTAGTTGATGTGCTAATACTGGGAAGGAGGCTGGTTGGACTTCGAAGGTGACAAAAGTTAAGCTTGCTACAGAGCTTAAATCTCTTGGGGCGGTTAAAATTCTTCCTCGCATCAGGAATTCTGTAGGTGTTAATAAAGGGAAGGGTGGGGGCTTATCCCCCTTGGTTGATCAATGAGTTTCTTTGCTTTTTGGAATTGTAGAGGGGTTAAGAAGAGAGAAGCCTCTCTTTATTTAAAAGAATTCGTTAAGGAATTCAATGTTATTATTGTGGGTGTTGTGGAGACCAAAGTTTCTGTTATTGATAGAGTGGTGTTCAATAATATGATGGGGTTAGAGTGGGACTACTTCCTTGTTCCTTGGGATGGCTTGTCAGGAGGAATTATGATCATTTGGAGATCAGATTTGGCTTCCTTTTCGACGTTAGAGACTTCTGTCCAATGTGTAATTGGTGATCTCAATGTGTTTAATAAGGGAAAGTGGATGGTTTCTACGATATATGATAGCAAGGATGTCAATAAGAGGAGTTTGTCGGATTATCTTCTGTCTTTTTCTTATAGAGAGGTCCCTTCGGTGATTGGAGGGACTTTAACTGTATCTTTTCTCAAGAAGATAAAAGAGGGGGAAAGAGATTTGCCTTTTTTCAATGTCCTAAGGAGATGATTGGTTTGATGAATAACAACGACTTTCATGAAGTGAGGTTTGTGGGGCCTAGAATTACTTGGTGCAATAACAAAATGGGTGGTGGTAGAATTTTGGAAAGGTTGGACAGGTGATTGTTAAACTCCATTGTTTTACAAAAAATCCATGTGGCTGTGGTGAGACATATTGCTAGAGTGGCTTCAGACCGTACACATAACTTGCTTGGTTCTTCAATCTTTGTTATATTTGATTTGGTCTGTATGGTTTTAGTAAACTTATGTGCTTAGTTTGTTTCATTCACACAACTTTTCAGGTTCTCTGCCTTTTTTTTATGTGTTTTTTTCTTTCAGTTTTGTGCTTATGCTGTTCTTGCACACTAATTTGTCATCTTGCTACACAGGTGTTGTTTACCATGGAAAATTCATTTCAATTATATTGATTTCTCTTATTGATAAGCTGATTTGTGTGCAGCAATTTGTGATAGAAATATTAATATAAGATGACTCGAAAAGGAAGCCAACCGAGAAATCTTCTTGATCGCAAGACAAACAAACTTAAAATTTTTTTAATTATTTTTTTACTTAGCCCACATGTTCTTCAGCTTCTCAGCCTTTTTTTTTAAGTGGTTGTATTTCAGTTTTATGCTTATGTTTTTCTTGCACACTGATTTGTCATCTTTCCACACAGGTGCTTCTTACCATGGAAAATACATTTCAATTATTTTGATTTCTCTTATTGATAAGCTGTGTTGTGGGTTGCAATCTGTGATAGAAATATTAATATAAGATGGCTCGAAAAGGAAACCAACCAAGAAATGGTTTCGATCGCAAGACAAACAAACTCCAAAATGTAATTCCAAGATCATTGGATCCTTCTTTCGTTGAGAGCAAGGAAAAGAAAGGAAAAAGTGACCAGAATTTTACTTCTTGTGACCACTCAAATGGCGACTTCCCATCCAGATCAAGCAATCCTTTTCCCGAGCAAGCAATAAATACTGAGAGTACTGGGACTGTTAGGAGTTGCAAGCAAAGAATTTCTGATGTTCATCTAAGGGAGAAGTCAGGTATTAGGACCCAGAGTTCAGCACGAGCAGGTGTGTCTATTGAAGTAGTAGACATTGCAGAACACGACTTGTTATCTGATGCATCCAAGTTGACTGAAACTAATGAACTGATGCTCGATCATAATTCCTATCTTAGCAAAAACATATTTGGTAGTTCTTCAGTAAGAAGCGCTTTGGATTTCGTTGGATCTCTGGATGCTATTAGTGGTTGGAGTTTTAGATCAGCTTCATATGTTCTTAAACTTGCTAGTGGATGGATTGAGCATCAAAAACCTCGGGTCTCCCCTTTCATCAGCTATATGCATAGCATATACGATTTTGGTATTGCGAGAATAAAGTTTGTCTATCCCGTGATTTGTACATGGATTTTGCATTTAGGCAAATTGATACTTTTCCTTTCTGCGATTTGGTTGGACTACAGTATCAGGGGCCTTACCTCATTGTTGCATTTGGGTACGGCATCATTATTTACAGTTCTCTGGTGCAGTTTACTTTCAATCGTTGGTATGGTTGGATTCATAAAATTGCTTATCATGGTGGTGAGTATTCTTGTTTCTCTATATGTTTCTCCTTTTGTTTCCTCTCACTATTATTTTGGAGACTACCTGTGGATTGATTTGTTATATTATTTGATGCTAAAACGGATCAGTTTATTTTTTGGTTTTGTTGTTCTTTTGTTATATAATTTAAATATAATTGCATTTATTTTTATAAAAGTACGCAAATTATTTCTATTACGCCTTCTATTATTCTTGTGAATGACATATTTCCATATGATCCTTGAAGACTGTAGATAATATTGTATGATATGCCCATAAAGCATAACAACTTGGCTGTATGATGTTGATGTAAAGCTCAAGGTCTACAGTTTTTGTGGGAAACTGTTAAGCTAGTGGGGCTGATATGTCAGGGGGGCTCACTTTATGGGACACAGGGAAGTTATTATTCATTATGTGAGGAGAAGGAATCAAGGTGAAGATGTTTATTTATTTAAAAATGTTTCCTAAAACATTTTTAATTATTTAAGAAGGTTTCCTAAATTATGTTTAATTATTTAAAAATGTTTCTTAAATTATATTTAAATTATTTATAAAGGTACTATTTATGTTATTCTGTTTTAGGGCTATCTAAGCGGGAGATGTCTAAGGTTTTAGGATCATGCTATGACTAAATTTTGATTTTGTAGTTCTTTTCTTTGAGGGCTTACTCGCAGCATCTAGGTTGATTGGTAGAGTCGATCTACTTCTTGAATTATTATAGATCACATGTAGCTTGTTGTTTCTTATTGAAGTATTAATACAAGAATCAGCAACCGCTTTGTTTTTACTACAGTTTTCCTATTTGTTGTTTGCTATTTCTGGTTCCAAGGCGTATCAAATTTGTATCAGAGTAATTTCTTAGGACCGATGACCAAGAAAAGAGTTGAGGCGTTGGAAGAAAGGTTGAAGGGGGAAGTAGGTTAGCTGTGAACGGATATGAGATCATTGAATGAGCGTCTTTCAGCGATTCAAGGAAGGTTAGGAAATCTCATGGAGATGATGAAACATATGTTAAAGAATCAAGCTAAGATGTCTCTGTCGGAAACAAGGGGAAATCACGAAAATGATATACTGAGAGAAGATCAGAGAGTTGTACCATACAAGATTGATGGGGATGAAATGATAAAGATTTTTAGTCCTGGTGTAAGGAAAGATTCAACTGAAGTATCCTTGGATGTTGATGGTAAAAGTGTATTAGCGGAACTTGATTCACCTGCAAATATCCCAAAAGAAAATAAAAATGGCATTGAAAAATGCAAGCATCATGACTTCATAAGCCAGGATAATATAGAGACTTCAAATAAAACTAAAAATTATGTACCAATTGATTCTTTTTATTCTTCAAGTTCACATAAAGTTTTGATGGATAAGCTGAGTGCAAAACAAAATAAAGTTATCAAATCTTTTTATTCTTTTTATTCTTCTATAATAATGGAACATTCTTCTACCGATGGAGATTTTGTTAATACAGAACTCAAAACCAAGTTAGTAACTATTATGCTGACAAGAGTTTTAAGAGATTTTTCACAAAAAAGAAATGAAAATAAAAATGTATGTATTGTTTCACATAAACAAACTGTTGATAGAATTTTAAGCAGCAAAAATGCTACAGCTTTTTCACGTGAATCTAACAAGGAAATGCATTCTAAGATTACTACTACTAGCCTATTTTCTTTTGCAAGTGGAAAATATTCTTTAGCAACAGTTTCCTATGTTCCACCTTGACGATAAGGTGGCTCTTTGAGAGCGGAGTATTGATACGTCAGGGGGGAACCTTATGGGACACAGGGAAGCTATTATTCATTATGTGAGGAGAAATCAAGGAGAAGCTATTTAATTATTTGAAATATTTCTCCTAAATCATTTTTAATTATTTAAGAAGATTTTTTAAATTATGTTTAATTGTTTAGGAAGGTTTTCTAAATTATTAAATTGTTTAGAAAGGTTCTATTTATATTATTGTGTTCTAGGGCTATTTAAGAGGGAGTTGTCTATAGTTTTAGGATCATGCTATGACTGAATTTTTGTTTTGTTGTAGTTATTTTCTTTGAGGGCTTCCTAGCACCTAGGTTGATTGGGAGAGTCGATCTATTTCTCGAATTGTAGGTCACATATATCTTGTTTATTATTGAAGTCTTAATTGAAAATCTGCCACCGTTGTGGTTTTATTGTAATTTTCCTATTTATTGTTTGCTATATTTTGTTTCCAAGGCATATCAAATTTATTGATGGATCAGCCGATTTGATTGAGAGGAAATTAGGATGTTTCATAATCAAGATGCAGCTTTTTAGGAAGGTTCTCAATCAAAAGGAGATTTATTAGAAGATGTTTTCTAATTGAAGATGGCAGATTTGGGAGCGGATTTGGGTGTTGATTTGGAGGAGATAAATTATGAAATATTTTATAATTGAAGATGATAGATTTAGGGGCTGATTTGAAGACAATTAATTAGGAAATATTTCCTAATTGAAAAGAGCATATTTGGGGGATAATTTGAGGGTACATTTGTGGGGGGGGGGAATAATTAAGAAAATAGAGCAGATTTCTAAGAGAATTGAGGAGGGTTGTTTGGATATTTATTATTTATTGTTGTTTTAAGTAGTTGATTTACCCAAGGGTTAGGGTTATATTTTTGTTTACAAAAAATTTTATGAGTGTTGGCTGTCTAGTATTTTTGTGACGAATACTAGCAGCATCTAAGGTTTGGGAGAGACAGTCCTCAACTTAATAAAGGACCATTATTTCTTATTTTTTCATATATCTTTTCTACTCAACAAAAATTTCCTGTTTACTGAATTTGTATTGGTTCATTGACTATTTTTTTTATACCAATGCATATTAAATTGGTATCATAGCAATTTTTTGAGACCGATGGCCGGGAAAAGAGTTGAGACGTTGGAAGAAAAGTTGGAGGGGGAAGTAGGGCAGCTGTGAATAGATGTGTGATCATTAAATGAGCGCTTGTCGGCGATGGAAGGATGACATTCTAACCTAGAGGACACAATGAATAAACTATTGGAACTTCACACTCAACCGACAACATTGGAGGTAAGGGCACTGTTGACCGGACAAGGATGTGGGGGAAACCCTAATATAGGGACGATAAGAGAGGATTGGGAGGTGAAAATTTTTGGGGAAGAATAGGAGTTGCTACCATTGGAGTCACTTCAATAAGGGGAAAGGGTGAAGGAATGAGATTTTTGGCGAAGCTACAAAGTTTGCAAGGAGAAGAAGATGAGGAGAAGATAGAAGCACTAGACATGGTTCAATCACTCCTACAACAGTCTCGAGAGGTGTTCCATCCAGTGCACAGGTTTCCTCCTTCGCGAGAATACGAGCATGCTATCAATTTGAAGGAAGGAGTCTCACATATCAGTGTTCATCCATATTTTTCTCTCCAACTCCAGACAGATGAGATCGAGAGATTGATCAGGGAGGTTCTGGAGGAAAGGATCATTCGACCCAGTGATAGTGCATTTTTCAGTCCAGTGCTTCAGTAACAGTTTCCTTTGTTCCACCTTGAGGACAAGATGACACTTTGGAAGGAGAGTATTGATGGATCGTTCGATTTGATTGGGAGGGAATTATGAAGTTTCCTAACTAAGAGGGAGCTTTTTAGGAAGGTTCTCAATAAATGGAGATTAATTAGATGTTTTCTAATTGAAGATAATATATTTGGGGCCGTTTTTGGGGTTGGTTTGGAGGAGATTAATTAATAAATATTTTTTAATTAAAGATGAAAGATTAGGGGGCTGATTTGGAGGGGATTAATTAGGAAATGTTTACTAATTGAAAATGATAGGTTTGGGGGAAAAGTAATTAAGAAAATAGGGAAGATTTGGAAGGGAATTGGAGGAGGGTTGTTTGGTATTTGTTCTTTATTGTTTGTTTTACGTAGTTGATTTACCTTATGGTTAGGGTTATATTTTTGTATGCAGTATTTTATGTGTTTGTTGTCTACTATATTTATGAGAAATCATAGTGGCGTCTAGGGTTTGGGAGAGACGTTCCTCCTCTTGAAAGTGGATTATTGTATCTTGTTTGTTTGTATTTCTTTTCTTATCAAGAAAAATCGGCTGTTTACCAAATTTGTATTGGTTCGTTGACTGTTGTTTATACCAAGACATATCAGGGGCCCACTGGGGTGCTTGGGGAGGCGGAGCATGTAAAGTGGGGTAGCATAGGTACAACCAAGTGGTCGGCATCATGGGGAAGCCAAATGTGGGGCATAAGAAAGAAAAGGGTAGCAGCATGGGGAACCACCAAGTGTGCGACAGCATGGGGAAGCCAAATGTGGGGCATAAATCAATATTAATTACCTACCAAAGAAGGGGAAAACTTAGGAGGGAGTAATGCTATAAAAGGGGGGCTTATGGGGGGTGGGCAACAACTATTGCTGTCTAGAGCAGGCTTCAAGGAGATTATTGTGTGGGACAACTGATCTACCTCTCGAAGAGTAGATTAAAGTTAGCTTTCTTTTCGATATTGAGTTGTAGTGCTATTGTTCTTTGTTTTTAAGGTCTTACTGTTTTCTTCTATGGGTGCATTGTATTTGTTATTTTTTTTATTTAACGGTATTGAAATTAGTTTTTCCCATCTTTGGGTATTGTTTTAGTAAAAAATCTACCATTTTTTGGTTCAAGTCCTATAAAATTGGTATTAGAGCACGATTTGGTACCTATGGCGGTGAAGAAAGCTGATGCTTTGGAAGAGCATCTTGAAAGAGATGTTGGCTAAATTAAATCGGTGTTTGAGGCCAAAATTTCATCAATGGAAGAAAATTTTTCCAACCTAGAAGGGATGATGAAGGTGTTGGATCTTCACATCCAACCGACAATATCAGAGGCAAGAACACTGATAGGAGGAAATGCAAATTTCTGCAACCAGAAAGATGATCACGATGTAGAGATCTTGGGAGAAGAGGAAACGAGGCAATCTTTTGAACCATCGCCTTGGAGAGGAATAGGCAGAGGTTATAGCATGTGGAGGTATGGGGATG